AAATGGGACCAAACCACGGAATCCACCCCAAAAGGCAGTTGTAAGTGTTACTGAAAACAGAGCCTGGTACATTTTAAGCACTCATCGTGGGGTGGTTGTTGTTAGTGCTGTTGTCTGTTTCTCAGCTGAAACCACTTTCAGCTCCAGGAGGGGAAGTGCCTTTCCTAATGTCACACAGCAAGCTGGTCAGCACTCAGAGCTGGCTCCTCCCATGTTTTACTCGGTTCAGCAGTCTGGCTGTCTGTCCCCTCTCCATCCTCTAACTCCAGACCACCTGCTTCTCACTTGCCCTTCCTGCCCTTATGTGGCCCTTCTAGGGGCAGTGCAGCCCTGGCCTGCTCCCATATTTACCTGGCCTAGCCTCCAGATTAACAGTTGGGCACAGCAGTGGGCAAACTTGTCAGCATGTCTGAAGAGTGATAGTGGAAAAAATTCTGGAAATGAACAATGGTGATGGTTGTACAACAATGTGAATTTCACTTATTGACACTGAACTGTATATTTTAAAATTATGAACTGATCCCAGATGAAGGGCGGAGGATCCCAGAACTTCGGCCCTGAACTCAGACAGGCTGGAGTTGGAATCCCTGTAGTAGTATTCATACACAGAGAACTATACATAAAAGATCTTCATGACCCAGATAACCACAATGATGTGATCACTCACCTAGAGCCAGACATCCTGGAATGTGAAGTTAAGCAGGCCTTAAGGAAGCATGACCACAAACAAAGCTAGTGCAGGTGATGGGATTCCAGTTGAGCTATTTCAAATCCTAAAAGATGATGCTGTGAAAGTGTTGCACTCAATATGCCAGCAAATTTGGACAACTCAGCAGTCGCCATAGGACTGGAAGAGGTTGGTTTTCATTCCAATCCCACAGAAAGGCAATGCCAAAGAATGCTCAAACTACCACACAATTGTGGTCATCTCACACACTAGCAAAGTAATGTGCAAATTCTCCAAGCCAGGATTCAACAGTACGTGACCCGAGAACTTCCAGATGTTCAAGCTGGATTTAGAAAAGGCAGAAGAACCAGAGATCAAATTGCCTACATCTGTTGGATTATCAAAAAAGCAAGAGAGTTCCAGAAAAACATCTACTTCTGCTTTGTTGACTATGCCAAAGCCTTTGACTGTGTCGATCACAATAAACTCTGGAAAATTCTGAAAGAGATGGGAATACCAGACCGCCTGACCTGCCTCCTGAGAAATCTGTATGCAGGTCAGGAACCAACAGTTAGAACTGGACATGGAACAACAGACTGGTTCCAAATTGGGAAAGGGGTACATCAAGGCTGCATATTGTCACCCTGCTTATTTAACTTATATGCAGAATACATACGTGAAATGCTGGGCTAGAAGCTGGAATCAAGATTGCCGGGAGAAATATCAATAACCTCAGATATGCAGATGACACCACTCTTATGGCAGAAAGTGAAGAACTAAAGAGCCTCTTGCTGAAAGTGAAAGAGGAGAGGGAAAAAGTTGGCTTAAAACTCAACATCCAGGGACTTTCTGGGTGGTCCAGAGGTTAAGAATCTGCCTTCCAGTGCTAGGGATGCAGGTTCGGTCCCTGGTCGGAGAACCAAGATCCCACATGCCAAAGGGTGACTAAGCCCGGGTGTCCCAACTACTGAGCCACATGCTCTAGAGTTCCCAGGATGCAACAAGGGACCCCAAGTTGCTGCAACTAAGACCCGATGCAGCCAAGTAAAAAAATAAACTTAAAAAAAAAAAAACTCAACATTCAGAAAACTAAGATCATGGTACCCAGTCCCATCACTTTATGGCAAATAGATGGGGAAACAGTGGAAACAGTGGCTGACTTTATTTTTCTGGGCTCCAAAATCACTGCAGATGGTGCCTGCGGCCATGAAATTAAAAGACGCTTGCTCCTTGGAAGGAAAGCTATGATCAACCTAGATAGCATATTAAAAAGCAGAGACATTACTTTGCCAACACAGGTCTGTCTAGTCACAGCTATGGTTTTTCCAGTGGTCATGTATGGATGTGAGAGTTGGACTATAAGCGCTGAAGAATCGATGCTTTTGAACTGTGGTGTTGGAGAAGACTCTTGAGAGTAACTTGGACTTCAAAGCCATCCAGCCAGTCCATCCTAAAGGAAATCAGTCCTGAATATTCATTGAAATGACTGACGCGGAAGCTGAAACTCCAATACTTTGGCCACCTGATATGAAGAACTGACCTTGATGCTGGGAAAGATTGAAGGCGGGAGGAGAAGGGGACAACAGAGGGTGACATGGTTGGATGGCATCACTGACTCAATGGACTTGACTAGATGGACCTTTGTTGGCAAAGTAATGTCTCTGCTTTTTAATATGCTGTTTAGGTTGGTCATAACTTTCCTTCCAAGGAGTAAGCATCTTTTAATTTCATGGCTGCAGTCACCATCTGCAGTGATTTTGGAGCCCAAAATAATAACTTCTGTCACTGTTTCCCCATCTATTTGCCATGAAGTGATGGGACCAGATGCCATGATCTTAGTTTTCTGAATGTTGAGCTTTAAGCCAATTTTTTCACTTTCATCAAGAGGTTCTTTAGTTCTTCACTTTCTGTTAATAGGGTCGTGTCATTTGTGTATCTGAGGTTATTGATATTTCTCCTGGAAATCTTGATTCCAGCTTGGGGTTCATCCAGCCCAGGGTTTCTCATGATGTACTCTGCATATAAGTTAAATAGGCAGGGTGACAATATGCAGCCTTGATGTACCCCTTTCCCTATTTGGAACCAGTCTGTTGTTCCATGTCCAGTTCTAACTGTTGGTTCCTGACCTGCATACAGATTTCTCAGGAGGCAGGTCAGGCGGTCTGGTATTCCCATCTCTTTCAGAATTTTCTACAGTGTATTGTGATCCACACAGTCAAAGGCTTTGGCATAGTCAATAAAGCAGAAATAGATGTTTTTCTGGAACTCTCTTGCTTTTTTGGTCATCCAATGGATGTAGGCAATTTGATCTCTGGTTCTTCTGCCTTTTCTAAATCCAGCTTGAATATCTGGAAGTTCACAGTTCACATATTGTTGAAGTCTGGCTTGGAGAATTTTGAGCATTACTTTACTAGCATGTGAGATGAGTGCAATTTTGTGGTAGTTTGAACATCCTTTGGCATTGTCTTTCTTTGGAATTGGAATGAAAACTGACCTTTTCCAGTCCTGTGGCCACTGCTGATTTTTCCAAATTTGCTGGCATATTGAGTGCAGCACTTTCACAGCATCATCTTTTAGGATTTGAAATAGCTCAACTGGAATCCCATCACCTCCACTAGCTTGTTTGTAGTGATGCTTCCTAAGGCCCACTTGACTTCACATTCTAGGATGTTTGGCTCTGGGGGAGTGATCACACCATCGTGATTATCTGGGTTGTGAAGATCTTTTTTTACAGTTCTTCTGTGTATTCTTGCCACCTCTTCTTAATATCTTCTGCTTCTGTTAGGTCTATACCATTTATGTCCTTTATTGAGTCCATCTTTGCATGAAATGTTCCCTTGGTATATCTAATTTTCTTGAAGAGATCTCTAGTCTTTCCCATTCTATTGTTTTCCTCTATTTCTTTGCACTGATCACTGAGGAAGGATTTCTTATCTATCCTTGCTGTTCTTTGGAACTCTTCATTCAAATGGGTGTATCTTTCCTTTTTTCCATTGCTTTTTGCTTCTCTTCTTTTCACAGCTATTTGTAAAGCCTCCCCAGACAGCCATTTTGCTTTTTTTCATTTCTTTTTCTTGGGGATGGTCTTGATCCGTGTCTCCTGTACAATGTCATGAACCTCCACCCATAGTTCATCAGGCACTCTGTCTTTCAGATGTAGTCCCTTAAATCTATTTCTCACTTACACTGTATAATCGTAAGGGATTTGATTTAGGTAATACCTGAATGGTCTAGTGGTTTTTCCTACTTTCTTCAATTTAAGTCTGAATTTGGCAATAAAAAAGTTGTACACTTTAAATGGGTTAATTTTATGGTATGTGACATTTTTTTAATGGGAGAGCTGGATAACCAGCATCTCTCAGGGTCCTTTGGGGAGGTAGGATTTTATTCTATAAAAAGTCTACTCCTACTTGTGGACTCTGGGAGAAGGCGAGGGTGGGATGTTTCAAGAGAACAGCATTGAAACACGTATATTATCTAGGGTGAAACAGTTCACCAGCCCAGGTTGGGTGCATGAGACAAGTGCTCGGGCCTGGTGCACTGGGAAGACCCAGAGGGATTGGGTGGAGAGGGAGGTGGGAGGGGGGACCGGGATGGGGAATACATGTAAAAAAAAAAAAAAAAAAAGATACACTATGGTTGTGATAAAATAAAAAAAAAGTCTACTCCTACAGAAGAGTAAAGTTTACTAACCCCTACGACCCCCCAACAACCGCGGACCTACCTTAGGGAAGACCCAGCAGCGCAACCCAGCGTCCCATTCGCTCGCCGTTTGCATAGACACGCCCACTCACCCAGCCAGTCTCTGCTTCCGCGCCCCCACGTGTTTTGCGCCGCCCTGTCCCCTCCACGCCCTCGCTGGGGCTCTCCACAGAAGCCAAAGTCGGAAGACTTGCAGAGACCTCATAAATAATACAGCACGTCAGCGGCTGGTGGGGCGGGGCTTCGACGCGGCTGGCTGAGTCAGGGTTATGAATAATACACATTGAGGCGGGGCCTGAAGGAGTGCGCGTGTCGGGGCGGAGTCCGGGCGCGGAAGTGGACGCCTCTGGGGCCTTGAGAGGTGGGGAGGCCATCCATCCTTATGAATATGCAGAAATCAGGGGCGGTGACTGCGGGCCTCCTTCGGCCGGTAGTGCGGCGTGGCTAGCCGCGGCTCATGAATAATGCAGCACGTCGGCGGGCAAGGCGGCCCTGGCCCGGCCCTTAGGGGCGTAGCCAGGCGCGTCTCATGAATAATGCAGTGCGTCAGCGGGCGGCGGGGTGGGGCGTGGCCGGCGCGCCGCTGGCCCCGGAGCCGGGAAGCGGGGGGCGGGGGAGCGATGGTCGCAAGATGGCGGCGCTGAAGGAGGATCGGAGCTACGGGCTGTCGTGCGGGCGGGTGAGCGACGGCAGCAAGGTGTCCGTGTTCCATGTGAAGCTCACCGACAGTGCCCTGAGGGCCTTCGAGAGCTACCGCGCCAGCCAGGTGAGCGGCGGACTCGGCGCGGGCGTCGGGGCACAGGTCGGCCTCGCGCGCCCCTCTCCGCGGCGTCCTGGCTTGGGGGTGCGGGGTCCGGCGTCTGAGGTATTGCTCGCCGGTTTCTGGGCCAGCGGGGCGTGGGGTGGGCGCATGTCCCACTCGGAGAGCGGGGAACCTCGGATCGGGGAGGCGACCCTGGCGGGCGGCCGAGGGTGGCCGACGGGCCAGAACTCGCGCGCCGGATCCGGGGGGCGTCTTTGTCGGCACCTGGAGGCGTCCGGGGCCTTTCCGGACTCACCCGGCACCTGGGCAGGAACTAGTTTTCTCACCTGATCAGGGGAGTGGGTGGAGGCAGCGCTGTCCGAGTTCGGGAGGTGGGGGGTTAGGACTTCTCTGGCTGCTTGGCAGGGAGACTGGTAGGGATGGCTGACTGCGCTCCCGGGAACAGCTTTTCCGTCTAGGTCACTGGCAGGGTGGGTCAGTGGGTCACCGCTGTCGGGGCGCCTGTGGGGTCCTGTTCAGTTTGTGTGGGAAGGGTCTGTCTGCACTTGGGGGCCGTCTTTGACGCTTTCCAGTGAGGCTCCTGGAGTTGGGTTCACTCTTATTTCTTGGGAAGGGAAGTTAGGGCAGATCCTGACAGCGTTTCCCCAGCTCCCCAGGTGATCCTGAATCGCTGGACACCTTTAGGAAGGGGGAGTCTTTTGGGGGGGGGTTTACTGGCATGGAGCCTTTCCTAGGCTGGAAGCCTGTGGTGGGCACCTGGGGAGGCACTCTGGCCCCTGCACCTGGCCGCTGACTCTCACACTTCTCAGGGGCCGATTTGGGCCCTTCTGGGGAAGTTCTAGGTGTTTCAGTTCTGCCACCTGGCCCCCCGGGGAGAGGGTGTTGGGGATGGGCTTCTTTGCACCATCTCTCAAGGCCTGACTCGGGAGCACATCTGGGCCCGTGGTCAGAAACTGCTTCTTCCCATTTCTGTGTGTGTCATGGCGCCCTCATCCTGTGTTGGGACAGAAGTTGCAGGTGCCCAATGCTCAGGTCCTGAGGGGAAATGGTTGGGGGGGTCCTTTTCCTCTTTGCCTGGAAAGTAGGGACTTCAGAGCCTGTGGTTAGGGGGTTGGGTCTGGTGTTAGGTTTGGGGAGGCGCTGCCCTGTGTGTGTGTGTGTGTGTACTGGGGATGGGGGGGCCTCGGGCGGGTTAGGAGAGAGACTAACTAGGAAGGAATGTGGCTTTCTTCCTGCCCTGGACTTGTTCGGCACCATTAGCTAAGCCCGGAGTTTCTTTCCCTGTTCTGTTCCCAGTGCCCACCCTTCCCGCCCTGCTTCCCACTTTGGGGGGCAGTTTCCTTCCTCTCCTCGTGTCTCGGTTTCCCCCTCATTGAACTGGGAATTCATCTATTTTGGAAGAGCAAGCGCCCACCGTGTCCAAGAGGGGTTCCCCCAGGTGAGGCTGGGGTGCCCCTGCAGGTGAGGAGGAGGGGGCCGGGTGGCCAGCTGGAGCCTCCCTTCCTTGTGGAATCCCAGCCCAGAGTCTTTTTTCCCCCTGGGCAATTCTGACTCGTCCTGCAGGAAGGCGGACTTTCCTCGAAACAGCTGGGGAAGAGCTCCTTCGTCGTGTAAATGAGGTGAGCTTGGCACCTGGTCACGGTGGCTTGGGAGCCCCGCCTTCCCTGCCATGCTGCCCTCCCTGGCTCCAGTTGCCCGGAAGGCCCGCCTGTGCGTCCACCTCATGCTGTCACGCTGCTATTTTTAATTTAGGGTGTTGGTTACATCCCTTAAGCTGGATCTTCCTCTTGTGAGGGTGAAGGTATAACTGCAGACTCAAGTTTGTCCCACGCAGAGCCCAGCTGTGTGCGTCAGTGTTGATCAGCCAGCAGGGGCTCCCTGGCAGAGCTTCTCCTGCAAGCCGGTCGTGTTAACCTGACTGGTTGGGCTGAGTTTTGGGGGTGACTCAAACTTTCATTTTTCTCAGAGGCTGACAGGTGATTTAAGTTTCTTGGCAATTTTGTATTTAATCCCACCAGACAGGCGGTGTCGTGGACTGAGGTAAGACCGGGGCAGCTCGGGCACTCAGTGTTCTTGGGCGGTGGGCCTGGGGAAGGTGACTGATGAGCCTATGCGACTAGAGAAGTGCATTGGCTGTTAGCACAACATGTGTTTTGTTGCACCTCATTTGTATGACTGTCACAGTTTAGAATTTTCTCTTTAGCGCTGCGGCTATATGATTTGCTAGTGGGAACTTGTGGAGAGGGAGGGTTTTCACTTTTACTTTGTTGTTCTTTACATTGTACTTTATGTTGTTACTTTATGTTTATGTTTTACTTTAAATTGCCCCTTGGACAGCACAGGTTTGAAGTGCCCATTTATACATGGGTTTTTTTTTCACCAAACACGTACCATAGTACTAGGGGACCCACGGTTGGTTGACTCTGCAGATGTGGAACTCGGGATATGGAGGGCCGACTATAAAGTTTATTCACAATTTTTGACTGTTAGAGGTTTGGTGCCCCTAACCCCGGTGCTGTTCAAGGGTGAGCTGTAATGGCAAAGAGGTTTTACAAACTCAGATGTGGCAGGAGACTGGAGAGGAGCTTCCTTCAAAACTTTCTCTGTGGCTCCCAGGAGCCTGTAATCCTAGCTGTTGGACTAGCCCAAGTAGGAGTCCCTGACAGCTCCCATCTCCCGGGGGGTCTGGAGTCTGAGCTGCCTTTTGTAGACCCAGTGAGCAGCCCGGAATGTGGTGGAAGGTAAAGGTGAAGTTATGTGTGGCTGCCACTGTCCAGACTGGGGTGTTGTGCCGTCTCGAGTGTGTCCCAAGGTACTCCCATGGATCTCCCTTTTCGCTGTGATGGGTTATTTCCGGGAGAGAAGAGAGAGGACATGTAAACACAGCCCATCACTTCAGGATCGCATCATGGGTCTGTTCAGAGAGGTGTCCCTGATAGTGACTCTGAGGAAGTGATCTTTGCTGGGGCACCTTCCTCGATCACGTGGATATTTCATCCTCAGATTTGTTGGGTCTGTTGCTGAGCGACCCCCTCCTCTCCTGGATTATAAGTTTCTTGAGAGGAAGATGTTGTTCTTGAGAGCAAGATGTTGTTGAGGGAAAATTGAGGGCTCAGGGAAGGGCCGAAGAAACCTGCGAACTGGAGCCTGTCTGGGTTTGAATCTCTGCATCTCAGGTGTACCTGCGTGAGGCCTTGGTTCTGTGCCTCACCCCTCCCAGTCCAGCTCCTTCTCCTCAGAGCTCTGAGGATCCCAGCGGCTGCGCTGGATCCTTCTCCTCTTTAGGGTTATGAGTGCGCCAGTACCTGCGCCCTCTTAGCTCCTAATCCCGCCCTCGGGGTTGGGGGTGTCTCAGTGCCCAATCCCTCTCTGAGCTCTGGATTCTTCTCTCGGGGCTTTGAGGGTCCTACTACCTGAGCCCTCCCAGCACCCGGTCCTTCTGTCCAGATTCCGAGGGTCTCGGGGCCCTGCCCGCTCTGAGCTCCGGCTCCTCCTGGGGCTGTCAGGGTCCTTTTGGCACGTGTGCAGCCCTGATCCCTCCCAGGCTCTCAGCACTTGGTGTGGGGACCCAGGGCTGGTTCCCACCTGGAGGTTTGAGCAGAGACTAGGGGAGACTGTCTTCCTGAATCTGGTCTGAGTGCCCGGTCTGTACAGGGACACCGCTCGGGGGCTAGATGTTTACCAGTGACCAGAGTGTGTCCCCAGTCTCTCTCGCTGGCATGCTGGAGGCAGGAGACAGATAATGAACAGGGTGGCACGGAGATCAGCATGAAGAGCTTGTCAGCGGCCAGTGTCAGGAAGGAAATAAAATGGGGTGACGTGAGAGGGCGCTGATTAAGGGAGGCACACTTAGGGCATGCCAGAGCTGAGGCCTGCCGGGCGAGGGGTCCCCAGGCATGGCGCATGTACAGGCCTTGAGACATGAGGGGCTGGGGAGGGTGTTTGCTGAGGGTGGGGCCTGGGGGCTAGGTAAAGGGGTGGAGGCGGCTACAGGGCTCTGTCCTGGGACGGGCGTAGGAAGAGGGGCCCTGCAGCAGATACCACGAGACTGTTTTGGACTCACACTGGCGGCTGCTCACCTGCTGCTAAGGGGCTAGCTGTGTGAGGTGGGTTCGTCTCCCCTTCCTGGGTGGGACACCCCACTTGGCCTTAACCAGGTGGCTTCTTGTCAGCCATGTCTGTTTTTCACATAGGCTGTCTTTAGGAATACCGACTAGGTAAATTTGCTGCCCCTCCTGGCTTCCAGCCAGGTCCCTGTAAGCCCTTTGTCCAGGCACATATCATCTTCCTGATAGTCTTGGCTGGTAGACTAGCTTCTTGTTCCCGCTGTTTATTGTGGGCAGTTGAGGTTCTGAGGGGCCATATTGCTTGCTGAGGTCACTTGGATTGTCCTCACTAGCCCAGGCTGCCTCTCAAGTTAGGAGGGAATTTGAGCCACTAGGACTTAGCTCTGAAAGGGAGTCCCACTGTGGTCTCCAGTCCTTATGAAATGCCAGCATTCTAGGCCCCTGGAGTGTTGGTGACGTGAGTCGCCATGCAGGTGCCTGAGGTTGCCAGCTGTGACGGTCCTGTATCCCCTCTCCCTTGAGAAAGCTTGCAGGTGATAACCAGTGCCTGTGGGTCGTGCCCCACGTGCTCTCGCTGTCCTGAGCCGTACACGTGACTCATCTCGTCTCCTGGCTGTCAGCCCCAGGTGGGGAGCGGGTCCCATTGCTCAGGTGAGGACACAGGTCAAGACTCTGGGAGGCCGAGTCTCCAGAAGGAGTCGGGCCCCTGGCTGGAGTGCAGTGATGCAGTGTGTGGCCTTGAGCTTTGCCCCCTCTGAAGGGTGGGGAGCCCCTCCCAGAAGGCGCATGCCTCACAGGTACTGAGGGCAGGCGAGCATCCTGGGGTGTGGGGTGAGTGCTGGTCATTTCTGCGGCTAGCCTGTGAGGCTGTGTGTGAGGGGCCAAGCCCCCCATCGGCGGCTGTGACCCTTGGCTGGGTTTCCGACAGCCGTTCGC